GGCTGGAGATGGGAGGGTGTAAAGGAGGGCGGGAGAATGTTTCCAAATTGGGTGCGAGAGAGAATGGGAGGTCTGAGACAGCGCCTTCTCCTTGTGGGTGCTCAACCAGAACACTGCCCACTCCGTCATGTCCCAGGGAGGCCATTCCTCACATTTGGGGAGAGTTACCAAATAGTGTACAGCATCGTTCAGGGGACAGACAGCAAAGCACGGGTGCTTCTCCGGGTATCTGTGTGACCTGTGTATGCGGCGGGGAGGCCCGGGAGATTCTCAGTGTCTGTCGGGAGACTGCCTGAGACCACAGTATGCACATTCACTCAGCAATCGGTGTCCATGCCGGGCATCAGGTAAGGTGCCAGAGACTGTCCCAGGGTATAGCAGTAAGCAGGCATGTGGTAGACTTTGCTCACAACAAGCCCACATCCCAGTGGGCGACAGGAAGACCTGGTATATACGCCACATGTGTTTCAACATGTACATATAACAGGCATGTGTTACCTTGTGAGGCCATTTTACAGACACTAAGGTCTCCTCTGTCCTTCCCCTCACGCCCTAGTCTCTCACTCAGTCCCGTACCAAAGGCCCCAGGCAGGTAAGTAATCCCAACCCCCTTGGCGGCAGCTCATTCTGACTTCTCAAGAAGTTTAATTTTGCCAACAGCCAGAGGCAATGACGGCAGTACTGGGGATCTGGCTGCCTGCGCCGTGCTCTGGGATAGGCAGCCCAGAAATAATTGCCTCTTTGAGTGTTTTATTGGAATGTGCACGTGCTTCCTGCTTCTGGGGGGGGGGGGGGCTGGTCCCTCCCAGGCCTAGCTTCTTCACGAGAGGAGTGAATTAGGCCTATGAGGCTAGTGGGAGCTGCTGCAAGGACTGAGCGGCAGCCAGACCTCAGGTACCTGTCCATCATTCATTTGCCTTCCTCCGAAATCACATTATTCAGGCAAGTAGATGGAGAGCAACTGCAATCTGTTTGTCGCCGGCGCCAAAGCTTCCCCACCTTGTGGTCATAAAGTTTTCCCCAAAGCCTCCTCAAACCACACACTGTGCGGATAGCATTTCACGGTGGCGCTGGCGGAGGAGGACAGGTGGTCCTGAGCTCTGCTGGCTTCTTAATCCTGGGAGCGGCTTGCTTGCTGCTGTCCCTAGTGCAGGGTGCTTGGTAGAGAAACAGAATGCTAATGAGGATGGGTCCACATTTTCCCAGCCTAGGAAGCAGTCAGATGGATCCTAATGCCGTTGTGTCCTGGCTCTGCCCATCAGACCTATGGCTGTACAAAGATGGCTGCCGTCTGGGTGGCTGTTATCAAAGAAAGAATGGGAGGAAAATGATTAAACCTGGCAGAGAGGCTTACCTGCTCCAGATTCGGTTGGGACTGGCCAAGGTTGCGAGACATCTGTCTCTAGGTTAACCTGGCCTCCCCGGAGTCCCAAGCCCCCGACTCCTGACTTCTTGGGACTGGTCCCCTAGCCGAGGCATCAGACATGAGGAGATCTGTAATTCAGTTGGAATCCTCTGGAATTACAGACTGTTAAGTATAGTCTCACTAAAATAATTATCCTTCATCTAGGTGTACGATCTCTCTCAAATGATCACCCTCCGTGTAGGCTATGACACTAAGCTGAGAGACACACAGGACTAACTACTGGGTGGGTGCAGGGATCCATGAGTACTTAGGGATCTTTAGACATGGGGAATCCCTGTGGGAGCTGCCAGCCATTTCAGGTCTCCTGCAGACCCCTAGGGGTACAGTGCACTGTCCTTTCTCTCCAGGCTCCGCTCCCTTTGCAAAGACGGCCTCAGCAATGAAACTATCCCTGGTTCCTTTTCATTCCTTCAGTACTGGGCCAGTTCACTCTGCACTTCACCATGATCTCAGAAGTTATCAGCTGTTATGGCATCTCTGTAAAATGAGGGTGATATAGCCCCTAAAAGCTGGTGAGGAGATAGACAGCAGACCTTTAAAATCTCATGTAGCTGGGTGTCGTGGCATACACCTTTAATCCCAGCTAGGGATGGAAAAGCAGGTGGATCTCTGTGAGTTGGAGGCCAGCCTGGTCTCCATAGTGAGTTCCAGGCCAGCCAGGGCTGTACAGTGAAACCCTGTTTCAAAACCAAACAAAAACCACCTCGTGTATCCAGCACATGGTCAATGTTCAGAAAATGGCAGCTGCCAGAGACGGTGGTGATCACACATTTTTCTGGGGTCTTTATGCACGCCAGTCACCTTTAACAGATTGTGGACTCCTTAGAATAAGGGCTGCATTGAGCCGTTGCTACCCTGGTTGGCTCAGAGTAAGCATCCTGTTCGGGCTAATGCATTAACATTAGGATAACTCAAGTAATCCTAATTGGTCTTTAACGAGTGTTTCCCACAGATAAGGCATGGTTCCAAGCAGTTCCTGAGATTATTTCATTTAACCTTTGCACAAATCCTGCAAAGCAAGTGTTATCATCCCCATTACACAGATGAGTAAACTGATCAGGCTAGGCACCTTGCCCTGTCACAGAGGAAGGAATGGAGATGGAGGCAGTGTTTCAGATCATCCTGACTCCAGGGTTTTGAGCCACCTGCCATACTTGACTGCCTAACATGGTCTGTGCTGTATGGTAATCTGCCGACCACCTGTCTCTCTCTCTCATCCCTGGCAACGGGAACTGGGTTTGGTTATTTCTGTAGGCCTTAACCCACACACAGATTCCAGCACCGAGGAGGCTCTGGTCAACGTAGGTAGGCAGATAAAGAAAGAAGACAGCGGCAGACAGTAGGGGCTAGGCCAGGGCAGCAGATCTCTTGGGGGCCTGGGGTGTGAGGCCAGAAGCAGGCAGAGAAGAACGTGGTCCCTCGGTTCTCATACCTTTCTAAAGGTTCCTGGCCATTTCCATCACCTTTAAGTGCAAGTGCACTTGAAAAGATGCTCCCTTGGGGACAGACACACTTAAACAACAGGAAGTGGTACCTCTGTTCTCAGGAGACCAGGGAGGGCGGGGCCCCTCCCTCACTGCCAACCCCCCTGGACTCCAGATCAACCCTAACGACCTGCCTGACCTCACTCAGAAGGGCTTGTAACCCAGCAAAGAAAACCTGGCGTAGGTAAATCTCTCCTTTAAGCACATTGTCCTGACCTCTGTTCTCATTATTCTGTGAGCTTCCTGAGGTGGGAATGGGGGTCCCACGAGCCATCTGCCTTCAGGGCCGTGGTTTAAGGGTCCTTCTGCACAGTCCTGCTTCTTTAAGCCCGCTTGGTGCTGGAGAATGAGGTGGGGGAGGTTTTAGTTTCTATTTCTCAGAGTCTGGGCAGCTATTTTGACTGCTTCGCTGGAATATTATTTAATTCTGAGTTTCTTTTTCTCATTACATACACCTTGAAAATTAAAATCTCTCTGCCTTGGGCAAGTGACGGCTGGCTGAAGGACAGCGTCGCCACCACACATTCCTTATTTAAGTCAGTTTGGAAATGCCGAGTGCTTCCTCTCAGGGCAGGTGACCGACATCAGTGTCCCTCTGTCCCATGTTGTGGGTATTAATTCTCCTGTTATTGCCGTAACCCTCACTGACCTGGCGTAATCACAGACTTAACAGCACTCTGTGCTTGTAAAGCTCTTCCGTGAGCAATGATCCTCCCAGGAGCTCTGTGCATAAGCAAAGCAGATGTCCACCCCCCTTGGGGCTCGGTGCATTTCACTGATGAGAGCTAGAAGGCTCTGAGGTTCCCCAGGCGAGGGAAGTGAGTGTGGACGGTCAAAGCCTTGAGCGGGCCCCCTTCAGGGCCTCTTGCTTCAAACAAGGTAGCTCAGGCAGGATCTCAACTCACTGCTCCTAGGCATCGAACAGAGACCCCCTCTGAGCAGAATGGCCTCAGGCAGCAGCACCTGCTTACTTAGGACCCTCAACCCCCCCCACACACCCCCCCACTCCCACTCCCCCACCCCCACCCCCCCCACCCCCCCACCCCCCGCCATATGTAAAAGAGGGGTTTCCCCAAACTGTACAGAGACTCCAGCAGAAAGCAGGCCCTGCTGCTTGGTTAGGGGCTTGCTGTCCTCTGTTTCTTGGTTCACCCCCAGGTCTCCAGCTCTCTGTCCTCAGATGGCCACTGCTCTCCCTGTGTGAGCCCATGCAGCTGTCCTGGCCCTGCTCTTCTTCCCTGCATGTACATCCCCCTCTGATTTGCTCACAGCTCTCAGAGGAACATCTGGTCCCAGCAGAGCTCCAGAACATCCTGTCGGAGAGGGCCTGAGATGGCAGCCCGGTGGGAAGGTGGCTTTGGGAGGGCCACAGCAGAGAGTTGGGTGAATCCCAGCACCCCTGCCGAGAGACGAGGGGTAGAGACCAGAGAAGCCCCAGAGGCCGAGAGGCCAGCTGGCCTGTCATACACAGTAGAAAACCAGAGGCCCTGCCTCAAACAAGGTAGAAGAGTGTACAAAACCAACATCTAGGGCTGTCCGCTGTCCTCCACATAAGCACTGTGGTCTGTGCTCAGGCAGATGCAGAAACACACAGACACACAGACACAGACACAGACACACACACACACACACACACACACACACACACACACACACACACACACAATTTAAAAAAAAAATAGCGGGGCTGACGAGATGGCTCAGCAGTTAAGAGCACTAATTGTTCTTCAGAGGACCTGGGTTCAATTCCCAGCACCTACATGGCAGCTCACAACATTCTGTAACTCCAGTTCTAGGGGCTTCTGACACCCTCACACAGACATACATGCAGACAAAACACCAATGATCACAAAATGAAAATTAATTACATGTTTAAACAAAAACTATAGCAACAGGCCTTTCAACATTCTTTTTTTCTCTTCTTTTCTTTCTCTGTCTGTCTCTCTGTTTCTGTCTCCTCCTCTCCCTCTCTCTCTCTCTCTCTCTCTCTCTCTTTCTCTCTCTATCTCCCTCTCTCTGTCTCTCACTGTATAGCCCTAGCTGACCCTGAATTCATAATCCTCCTGCCTCAGCTCCTGAGTGTAGAGAGACTTGAATGCACCACCATGCCTGAGTGTACCAAAGAGTGCCTGTGGGACTTCTGAGATGCAGAAATGAAGGCTGCATCTACCACCCGAGTGAGAAGCTGTGACCGCCTGGTGGATAATCAGCAGCACCACGCACATAACATCTGGTGGAAAGGATCCCCTGCCCCACCCCTGTCCCTGTCCCCAGCTCCCTTGAGGACCCGTGTCTTCCTACATTCTTGTGTCTCCTGAGTCTTGCCAGTGTCTGTCTATGGGAACCAAGGCCTAAGGCACCATGTGACCCAAAATCATCCCAGCAACCTCCTGCTGCTCCTGATCTGAAGTGACAAGCCGCTTTCACCTCCTTCCGCTCGGAGAAGGGAGCTGAGGTCCAGGCTGTTCTTTCCATCACCCCCTCCACCCTGAGGGTGACAGGGTAACTTCAAATCTAACCCGAGCTGTCGGGATGGACAGTCCACGAAACCTGGGGCTTTCCAAAGGTGGCACAGGCCAGAGGGAGACATGAGATCGGAAGAGGTGAGTGAATACTTCTGAGAGATGAAGGCTTTGGGTTGAAACTCAAATAACAAAAAAATGTGCATTATTAAGACAGAGGACATCAAAACCAGTGAGAAACAGACGGAGGTTCAAATTTCAGTTGTATTGCAAGCTGTGAGATCCTGGGCAACCCCTGGAATCCTCAGTATCCTCTCCTACTTCCCACAGTGGTGGCTATACCATACTGATGTTGCAGAATTAAATAAAATAATACATACACACAGTGATAATTAAGATCTCTGACATATAGTAGGCATTTGGTAAATGCTGGCTGTTATTATTATCAGAGTCACTATAGTTGTTGATGATGGTGATTATGCAGAAGCTTGAAGGGTGTGTGAGGCCTGGAGACCAGACTTTCACGTTTCTAGGAGCGTCCAGCCACAGATCTAGGTGAGTTCTCCACAGGAAGTCAGTGCCGTCTCCTAGGAGCGCAGCCCGGCCTTTCTGTCTGCTGCTATTTGGTTACCTCAGACAGAAATAAAGGCTTTGATTTTGTTTATGCCTCTCACTTTGTGCTGGGAACAAACAGCATTTTGGGGAATTAAGAGTCTCAGAGACAGGGTGGAGTCCTTCTCACTGTCAGATAAAGGGGCCCCTGTTCTGATTTCCGTCAGTGACAAGAAATGACCGCTCCGCCTGTCACTGAGCAGAAGGACCTGACCATAAGGAACAATGACTGGACAAGCGCCAAGGTATTGAGGGGGAGAACTAAGTCCCCAGAGAGAAAGCACAGCTCCCCAGTGAGTACCATCTTCTCCCCTATGCCTTGCTCTTTTTTTTTTTTTTTTTCCACCTCCTTCTAGATCTCATTTCTGAGGAGGGTGGGACCAAGCTGAGACTCTGGGTTACCTAGGTGACAGACACTGAGCATTCCCTTATGAGGCAGCTGGTTTGTGGTGCTGGGCATCCCTCTACAGCACTAGTTCCAGAGCCCCTAAATAAGATGGGAGGGGGGCAGGCAAACAGAAGAGCGAGTGTAAGATCCCGAGAAGAGGGGGTCATCCATAGCTGTCAGATCCTGGGCAACCTCTGGAATTTTGCCTCCCCTACTTCTCACCTCCATTCTGGTTTGCTGTTGCTGCTTTTTTCTTGTGTTTTTTGTTGTGTGTATGTACATGATGCGTGTGCACATGTCCACGTGTGTGCTTGTTCATCCACGTGAATATGCGTGCACAATGTGGAGGTCAGAGGACAAACTGTCACTCCTTGTCCTCCACCTGAGACAGGGTCTCCTGGTCGCGGGATGCCGAGTAAATGTAGCTGGTCCACGAGCCTCCCAGGATTCTCCTGCCCCTGTCTCCCACTGCGTTATCGGAGCACTGGGATTCCAGACGTGCGCTTCCACACCTGATTTCCACGGGTGTATGAGCTCAGGTTCTCACGCTTGCCTAGCCAGCACTGACCTGCTTGGCCATATTTCCAGTGCAGCCCTGCTTCTCTCTCTCTCCTCATGCTCTCTCCATTCTCTTTTTTGTCTGTCTCCTCCTCACTTCGGCCTGTTTTTCAGCTTCTCTTTCCACAATCCCTTCAAAGACAAGAAAGCTGTTTGTCTCCTCTCTCTCCTTACATGTCTCTGCTTCACTCACTTGCTGCAGGGCCCCTGCCTTCCCGGATGGAGGCCCGCAGGGACCTCACAAGCACATGGGGGCAGAGGCCTGGTCTGGGACAGGAGCATGAAGAAGGCAAAGACAAGTGGAATCCGGTATTGATTGGGTTCTGTGACTCACAGCCTCAGGGGAGGGACCTGGGAGAGTGACGTCATTGCTGGAATTGGCACTGGCGCCCAACTTCCCTGAGACCTCTTCTTGCCTTTGTGACTTCTCTATACCTCTCCACTGCAGGGAAGGGCTGGGGAAGCAAGGTTCACCTTCGGTGACGTTCAGAACTACCACACAGTTTTCTTGGGTGGAGGCCTTCCCACATCCTCACCTCCACCTCCTCTGGTGGGTATACTAATGTGCACGTGGGCACTCGCAGTCTCACATGTATGCACACTTCTGATATGTGTGCACAGCTCATGTGTATGCCAGCACACACACACACACACACACACACACACACACACACACACACACAGAAGTCACATGTACGCCCACCTGCCATCTGCTTCTGACAGTCGGGGGAACCATGTAAATGAGGCTTCTGAACAATTCGAGGGGACTGTGCTGGAGGTGAGGGGCAATCTGAGGAAGGACCCCATATGCTCCTGTCTGCTGGCATCTTGATGACGTGTGCCTCCTGATTTAGGAGCCGCTCCTAGGAGCCCAACATCAGGGAGAGCATGTAAGTCCTTGAGAAAATGTGCTTCCAATTTCATAACTGAAGGGAAACTGGTTAAGACTTGGGAATGTAGAGAGAAAGAGGGTCTGAGCAGGGCCAGAGGCTTCAGGAAAGATAATGCCTGCCTTTCGCTCTGTACTTAGGGAAGAGAGTTTTGTGTGCTTGTTTTCTCCTCCTTTCTTAACTAAGTCCCAGGAATCCAGCTTGAGTTAGAACAGAGGAAGGAAGGGTTCCCAAACATGTGTGTGAATATTAATGTTATGGAAATCACATGCAAATTAATCAGACACAAAAATAAATAGCTGATTAAGTCTTTAAAATGAACAATTAGCATGAGATGAAAGCCATTGGAGGAGCCACGCCTGGTACCCGGGTGACTTCTAGAGGCTGGGCCTTGGATGCAGAGTCCTCTGGAAACCCCGCCCACTATGGCTGGTGGGGATGCTTCTGGTTATAAGCAACTTGCTGATGGACCTATCAAAGGTCCACCTAGCATTTCCAGGAAGCTGATAGAGCTTAGGCGTCACAGCACTCCTCAGATCTTTTCCAAAGCCTGCACTTAATTTTGTGGGGTTATTATTACTATTACTATTACTATTACTAAAATGATTTTACTTGTATGGGTGTCTTGCCTGCACATGTATCTGTACACATGTGCAGAGGCCATAAAAAGTGTTCGGATCTCTGGAACTGGATTATAGGTGATTGTGAGCCACTCTGTGGGTACTAGGAACCAAACCTGGGTCCTCTGTGTTAGGTCCCAACCCTTAAAATGACAATCTGGGCTCAGCTCACACTAGATTCTGACTCTGGCAAACAGGAATATTGCTGGAGAATAACACTCAGCATTCTTCAGAAACCTGTGATGTAGGTTTCTGTCTGTCAGGAAGAGTCATCACTTCCCTCATCTGCTCTTAACACTGGGAAATGGGGCATCTAGTCCACTGTTAGCACATACCTATAACACACATCAAAGCGTGCTCATGTGCTCTCTCTCTCTCTCTCTCTCTCTCTCTCTCTCTCTCTCTCTCACACACACACACACACACACACACACACACACACACACACACACACACGCCCCTCTTCTGGCCCTAAAACCTCCCCTCTAACTTCTAGGCTGTTCCGATCTCCAGGCTCCCTGCCTTCTCAGTCTGTTTCTTTAAAACTGACAAGACTTGGCCCGGAGAGATGGCTCAGCGGTTAAGAGCACTGCTGTTCTTTCAGAGGTCCTGAGGTCAATTTCCAGAAACCACACGGTGGCTCACAACCATCTGTAACTACAGTCCCATGAGATCCAATGCCGTCTTCTGGTGTGCAGATGTACATGCAAACAAAACACCCATATACCAGCTAGGCATTGTGGCACACGCTTTTAATACCAACACTTGGGAAGCAAAGGAAGTTCGAGGCCAGCCTGGTCTACAAAGTGAGTTCCAGGATGGACAGGGCTACACAGAGAAACCCTGTTTCAACAAACAAACATAACAACCCCCCCCCAAAAAAAACCACCCATATACATAAAATACATAAATAAGTAAATCTTAAAAAAGAATAGAAACTGGTCAGACTTTCCCTACCTTCTGTTATCCCCTCTCCCCCCCTACAAGAGCTCACCATGCAGTTTCATATTTCCAATGAACCTTCTTTCTACCCTGGAGTGGTCTGGTTTGGGGGTGTCACTGCGCTCAGGGGTGAAAAGGCTGAAGGAGCAGCTTTCAGGTAAGAGTTCTGAACACTGGTCAGGCCAGCTCTCCAGCTGCTTCTGTTGTTTCCTTGTTGGTTTTTTGTTTTCCAAGACAGGGTTTCTCAGTGTAGCCCTGGCTGTCCTGGAACTCGCTCTGTAGACCAGGCTGGCCTTGACCTCATTGAGATCCGCCTGCCTCTGCCTCCCGAGTGCTGGGATTAAAGGTGTTCGCCACCACCTCGCAGCTTGTTTTGTTGTTTTTAAGGTCTTGCTGCGGAGCCCTGGACGGCCTTTAACTGACACAGTAACCCTCTGGATTCTGTTGACCTTGTGGGTGTGCACCATCAGGCCCAGATGTGCATTCCTTTGAAATCTTCTCTCTACCAAAGGTGGGCCTTTGCTCTGGAATGAAAACAAACCCCAAGGCCTCCAGGACTCAAATTTATCTAGTGAAGAAGGAACAAGGTTGCTACTGCATTGGCCAAGGAAATAACCCCCTTGCCCAAACTCTGAGAATTGGAGAAACAAATACTGGGTGAATAATAGGAGGAGCCAGCCAGATAGGTCAGCGCTCTTACCAAGCCTGATGATCTGAGTTCAATCCCCAGGATCCACATAGTGGAGGGGAGAACTGACTGCCAAGTGAACCCACACACATACGTCTGCACACAGATGCAATCAATCAATCATGTAATTAAAATATTTTGAAAGAGGGCTGGAGAGATGGCTCAGTGGTTAAGAGCACCTACTGCTCTTCCAGAGGTCCTGAGTTCAATTCCCAGCAACCACATGGTGGCTCACAACCATCTGTAATGAGATCTGGTGCCCTCTTCTGGCCTGCAGGCATACATGCAGGCAGAATACTTTATACATAATAAATAAAATAAATCTTAAAAAAAATATTTTAAAAGAAATGGCAGGGCTGAAGTGTAGATCCCCTCTGCAAAACCTTGGGGCCAAGCCTGACCGGGAGGCGTAAGGGTCCTGTTGGGCACAGCCCTAGGAAAGTGAAAACAAAGCAAAGCTTTGAAAGTTAGGAACCCGAGTATGGAGGCTAGAGAGGTAAGACTCACAGTGCCGAGAGTGCGAGCACTATCTGTTGTATGTCTCAGGGTCTGTTTCCACTCGACAACGAGCAATCAGGAGGTACTGCCACTGCCCTCCTTTTAGAAACGGAGAAACCGAACAGAGGGCAAGTCATTTGTCCCAACCAAACTGGAGAACAGCAGCGCAGGGTCTGGCGTCTGACGGGGCAGACTGTCCGTCTGTACATTACCCAAATAACTTGTGCAGTCAGGGGCCAGAATTCAAATCCAGCTCTGTCTGATGGCCCCATCCTGCCATGTACCCAAACCAGGAAGTGCAGGGGCCAGAACCGAGGGACAGGGAGATGATGGAAAGTATATGTGACTGGTTCTGAGAAGCAGGGTCTATCCGGACACGGAAAGGGCCCTTTGAGGAAAAAAGTTGTACCTCCTGGCTTGCTGGCTGAGGACAGGAAATAAGCTAGCAATCAGCAACCTGCCTAAAGGAGCTTGGGGAGAGCTGTGAGAGAAAATGGGGTTTCATTTGCCTCCTAAGCCCTCGTGAACCAGTTTGATACCAAGGGAGATAGCACAGGTCTACAGTCTCAGCATCTGGGAAGCGGGAACAAGAGGATCAGAAGTTCAAAGTCATGCTCAGCTACATAGTGTACTTGAGGCTAGCCTGGGCTACATTCCATTCTTGGAATTTTCAGGCAATTTAAATTAAAGTTAGAGTCAGATAGCCAGAGGGTATGGTGGCAGCAGGCTTTTCATCCCAACAGAGGCAGGTAGATCGCTGTTAGCTTGAGACTAGTCTAGTCTACATGGGGGAGGGAGTATCCAGACTAGCTAAGGCTACACAATTGAGATCTTATCTCAGAAAAAGAAAAAAGAGTCAGAGGTGTGTATAGAGATATTGGGGGGGGGGGGGGTGAGATGGGAAGAGAATCAGAGTGGTAGATCAGTCGCCTAGCAGACATCAAGTCCTGGGTTTGGTTCCCAGGATCCCCTGCTCTTCAATGAAGTGAAGAGGGATGTGGTCCCTAACAAACAAAGAGGCGACGCTGTATGCAGAGATGCTGCAAGAGCGAGAAACGGAGGACAGGGCGTCTCCAACAGATGATGCCCAGTCCTCCCGAGCCCAGTGGAAGAAAGTAGAGAGTGAGAAGTGTTGAGATCGGGTGGTCGGGGGGTAAACAGTGAGGCTTGTAGCATGTGCAGCTCCTGAAAGCTGCCAGAATCAATAACAGTGAAGCTGGTTCCCAACAGGGTGTGTGTGTGTGTGTGTGTGTGTGTGTGTGTGTGTGTGTGTGTGTGTGTCCAGAAGTGTCAGCCCTGGCCTCTGGGGCCACATCACAGGAGTGAGCTATGGTGAGCATCAGGGAAGTGTGATTTAGAGTCCCATTCCCACTGCCCTTCAGTGTGCTGCAAGGACAGTTCAATGTGATGTGTAATTACCACCGCCCCACAAGGCTGCACTGTACACAGAGCCCCCGCTCCCCCCTCCCTGCCGCCTGCTTTGCGACTGTAAATCAGTTTTCAATCCTGAGTGCTACCTGTAATGTTCAGGCTCAAGATCCGAAGCTCATATTCCTGTGTCCCTGGAGGGTAGTTCAGGCCCCGAGTAGCCCCTCCCCTAATTCTAATTCTGCCCTGTTCTTGTTCCCTGATGCAGGATGGGATAGGCATGGGGAAACTGGACTTGGCTGTAGGTGGCCCTGGGACCGTACTTCAGGTTCTGTCAGTCTCAGTCTACCCAGCATGTGGCACTGTGGCCGTACTCCAGACCAGTAGGGCAGAAAGGCATTGAACATGACCCCTCCCCCAAATGGCAACCTCTTCTCAGCCCTGCCAGAAGGGTGACAGCTTCCTGGGGAATCTCCAAAACACAGTGCCCTTTCCATGGGTTTATTTAGAAATGAGAAGTACCAGCCCTGGGCCTCCTCTGATCTGGAGTGGAGAAGGACATGGTGGACCTTGGAGGTAAGAAAAGGGCAAATTTAGATGGAGATTCTTTCTGTTTTGTCTTGTTTTAATTAGGTTTATTTATTTTATTTTATGTGTATGAGTGGTTTGCCTGTATGTGTATGTATTTATTTGTACTATATATGTTTCCGGTGCCCTCGAAGATCAGAAGAAGAATCAGATTCCCTAGAACTGGAGTGACAGATGGTTGTGAGCTGCCATGTAGGTGCTGGGAATCAAACCCAGGTCCTCTGCAAGATCAACCAGTGCTCTTAACCACTGAGCCATGTCTCCAGCCCCCTAGTTTTGTTTTTAAATAGGGTCTCATGTAGCCCAGGCTGGCCTCAAACTCTGTACTTCCTGACTACTAGGAATACAGGCATTCGTCACAGCCCAGTGTATTTAGTACTGGGGATCAAATCTGGAGCTTTGTGCACACTAGGCAAGCGCTCTACCCACTGAGCCACACGACCCACCTTAAGACAAGGATTCTATATAGTCTGGCTTTGAACTCATAGAAATCCACCTACCTCTGCCCCCGGAGTTAAGGGCATGCACTACCACACCCAGCAAACAAGGATTCTTTTATTTTATTTATATATCTATTTTATGTGTATGGGTGTTTGATCTGCATGTATATCTGCATGCACCACATGGATCCCCTGGGAATGGACTTACAGACATACATTTTTAAGCCATCGTGTGGGTGCTGGGAATCAAACCAGGGTCCTCTGAAAGAGCAAATAGTGCTCTTAACCACTGAGCCATCTCTTCAGCCTCAAGACAAGGATTTGAGTCATACCTAACAGGTATCTGGAGCACATCATTTTTTAGGGATTAGATGTTTTCTTCTCCTCTTCCTGTCTCCTGTTCACTGGGATGACTACAGCTGCCTCCTCGGTGACCTCCCTGGACCCACCTGGACCCTCTGAAGAGTCCTGCTGAATGGGAGCCAGGACAAGCCTTTCCCGCTCCCCGTTAAGCTTGTAAGCTCCTTCCTCTCCTAGTGAAACAGAGTTAGCCGTGTCCATCCTCTGCCCCCTCATCCTCTGCCCCCTCCCCCCACCACCTCGTTAGCCACCCTGCTGCCTGTCCCTCCACTATCCCTGCCATGGGGCTTTTGCCTGAAATGATCTTACCTGGCTCCTGCCTGTGCTTTGAGGCCTAATTATATAGTGCCATACTTCCCCGATTACTCCATCTGAAGCCCTGATCTATTTCTTGCTTTCTATCTTAGTAGCCTGTCTGTTCTCTTTATAGCTCTTGTTAAAATTTTGAATTATTATCTGGTTTTCTCCAGGTTCTCATCCTTAGACTTGGCATCCTCATGATGGCAGAGATGAGCATGTTATTTTATTCAATGTTGGTTTGTTTTTTTTTTTTTTTTTTTTTTGTTTTTCAACACAGGGTTTCTCTGTGTAGTCCTGGCTGTCCTGGAACTCTCTCTGTAGACCAGGCTGGCCTCAAACTCACAGAGATCCACCTGCCTCTGCCTCCTGAGTGCTGGGATTAAAGGCTTGCGCAGCAGCAGCAGCAGCAGCAGCAGCAGCAGCAGGTAGCTGAATATCGTCTTCTTAGTACTTTTAGCCTCACACAGAGTGTTAATAAATATGATGAACCAACCAAATGCATGTAGGGTACCTGCCAAGAGTCTTAGAAGCTGCCACCCCACCCCTCAGCACCCCCCAACTCCTGGGGGAACTGTGAGGGTCTCCACAGCTCAGAACCCTTTCTTGTTCTTAGGGAAAACTTCATCCATGGCCTCTCCTGGCTGTGTCTGGAGCTGCCTTCTTGGAGAAGGACAATCACTGGCTGGTGTTGCCAGAAAGCCAAGGCCAGCCCAAATGGCTACCTTGTGTGGACCAGGCACTCCAGGTGGGTACCGAGGGGGAAACTCCTCCGTGCATTACAATCTCCACGAAGAAAAGGAGGCACGTGAACTGAAAGCACCTTTTGAATAAGCAGCATGAGGGAGAGAGCTGCTCTAATCCCTAAATGGCTTTGCTGACAGCGAGAAGCTTCCTGGTTGGGGGGAGACGGGGTGGGAAGTGAGGACACATTTGTCAGGAACCAGCTCAGCAGTGCCCTTGTCCCCGAGCTTTTTTATTCATGACACGCTTCTGGCTAATGGAACTCCGAGATCTCTGACCTTGTGCTCCATATTCCACTTTTGTCCTGCCCCCACCCCACCCCCGCACCCCCAGAGCCTGGGCAGCCTTGTCCCTGCCTGTGTTAGATGCTGAGGCTGCTGGAGCTGTGGTCTTGGACCCTATGGGGACTGTGGCATCTGTGTGCCTGCCATGGCACGGTGATTTGGGTGACATGAAAATCCCCGTGTGACCCTGTGTAAAGGTGTGGGTCTGCATGCTAGTGGGTTTTGTCCATTTAGACACTCTGGGAACCAGTACCATTGTGCTGTTTGGGTGCCTGTGACCACCCCATGTTGCTGTCCATTAGCACTCCCCTCCAATGGTGGGGGGGGGGGCAGGAGGGCCTTGGAGTCGCAAGAGCCGCGTCTCCCAGATACCTTTCCAGTTCTGTTCAGCTTTTAGAGGGCTAAGGGGGTGTAGACAAAGGAGGCCCAGGAGATGTGGAAACACGTTATCCATCTCCCTGCTTCTTCATGAACCTACAGTCCCTGCTTGGCACTCTCTCTCGCTCTCTGGATGGATACATGTGTGCACACACACACACACACACATACACACACGCACGAACACACACACACACACACACACACACACACACACACACACACACACACCCCTTAGGAGCTGTAAAGGTCAAGACTCCTATTCTAATCTCCCAGTCCCCTTCACCTTGGAGCTGAACCAAAGCCAGTTTCTACGCAGAGATGTGGGAGGGCATTCCTAGTACTGGCTAATAGAATTCTCAGGAGGCTGAGACTCACTGTGACTGACGCAGGCCTCGGGGCACCAGGAGCTGGAAAGCTGCCCCTTGGACATGGAACTTGTCAAGGTTAATTGGTCTCAATATTGCTTTTTCTTTTTCCTTTCTCTCTCTCTTCCTTCATTAGTGCTGGGGATAAAAACCAGGGCTGCTTCTTTATTTTTTTGTATAGTGTGTGCAGTGTATGTGCAAATGTGCCTGTATATGTAGGCATACTCACTCATGCATGTGTGTGTTATGGCCAGAGAGGGGTGTTAGGGGTCTTTCTCTATTGCTTCTCACCTTTTTTAGTTTTGTTTTGTTTGAGAAAAGATCTCACTATGTAGCCCTGGCTGGTCTGGAACTCACTATGTGCTGGGACTAAAGGCATGCTCCACCATATCTTACTATGTATGTATGTGTGTGTATGTATGTATGTGTGTACATAGGTATGCATGTGTGTATGTATGTGTATATGTATGTATGTGTGTATGTATGTATGTATGTATGTATGTATGTATCTATCTATCTATCTATCTATCTGTTTTTGAGTCAAGTTTTCTCACTGAACCTGGAGATACCTGTTTTGACCAGACTAGCTGGCCAGCTAACCCCAGAGATCCATCTGTATCTCCCTCCCTAGTACTGGGGTTACAGACATGTACCACTGTGCCCAGCTTTTATGTGGGTGCTGGGATCTGGACTCACGTCTTCATGGTCACACAGCACTCACTTTACCACTGAGCATCTCCCCAGCCCTGGCACCTCTTATCTACTAAGCAATTATTGTCCTGAAGCGCTGCCGCCCCCAAACTGGACCTACATGCTCTCCTGCTCTTTCCTAATGGATTTCGGCCAGGGAAAGGACAGTAGAGTTCACAAGCTTAGGCAATGTCCATACTGAAAGTTCTCAGGAGGGCATAAAACAGAAACTCTTGACACTGGTCCAGGATGATTAGTGGTAACATTCTCCCCAAGGCTTCAAGGTCCTTTGTGCAGAGGACAAGTTTCTACTCCCCACTGCAGAGACAGCCGCCAGTCCCCAAGCTGGAGAGCTTCAGCCCTTAGCACAGGCTGCTAGCCAGTCAATGTTTAGTCAATATTAACTGTGAATGTCAGCGTACTCCCTGGTGAAGCGCCTCCGAGGATGCTCATCTTCTGGAGCCCTGGAGGTCGGGTGTGTGTTAGGGTGGGGATGTGAAAGCTAATCGTCATTGTTGACATGACTGGATTTGGAGTCACCTAGGAGACACACCTCCAGGCGTGTCTATGTGTACATTTCCAAAGAGGTTTAAGTGAGGGGAGCCCTATGCTGAATGTGGGTGTCACATCTCCATGTGCTGGGGTCCTGGACTGAATAACAAAAGGAGGAAGTGAACTGAGTCCAGCCTTCATCTTTCTCTGCTTCCTGATTGTGGATGCCGCGTGACCAGCAATCCGTGTGACAGCCGTCATGCCTTCCCACTCACAATGAACCATGGCTCCTTAAACGGTGAATCAAAATAAATCCCTTTTTTTTTTTTCTTAAGTTGCTTTTGCCTCATAGCAATTAGAAAAGCAACTAATACAGGCGGGAAGCTGGTGTGGTGTCCAGCTCGAGGTCCAAGGAGGGCAGGTGACTGGTGCTGTGTCCCTACAGGGCTTCCCCTTTCCCTGCCTCATGCCCCAGAATGCCTTTCCTCTGGACCCTGCAGACAGGGGAGTCTGCCTCTGTCCCAGGCAGGCCTAGTGACCTTTCACTCAAGCTGGCAAATACATTCTTTGCTAGTCTTGGAAATGAAATTGTGTTCAACATTTGTAGAGGGCTTTTATAGCACCTGGTCCTTTAATTAAAAGGAGGAGGAAGAGAAGAGGGGTAGAGGGAAAAGAGATTGATAGGGGCATGGCGGGTGGTGTCCAGGCTTCTGGCCCAGGTGGCTCTCACTCCTCCCTTCCTTCCTGAAGATTGGACTTTCTCTAGAGAGTAAGACACTCATGGCCAGAAAGCAGGGGGAGGACAGAGCTTGGTAATTTGTTAAAGAGGAAAAGGCCTTTTGGGCCCTCAGTCCCTTAGGCAGCTGTACTTAGCAACTGGGCTCAACCTGAAAATAAAGGTTTGTACCTGTGGACAAATGGATCGGACACTTTTGCCCTTTTTTGAAGGAGGAGGCAGGTTGGGGAGGGGGAGGTAACTACTACAGCCAGTGCCATTGTCAAAATCCCTTCCCAGAGGAGCAGGGCACACAGTCTGGCCCAGGGACCAGGAGCCAACCCTACGTTGTCTCTGAGAATCACAATCCTGGATGGCAGCCGATGGTGTGAGGAAGGACATGGAACCCTCCGCCCTGCCCCCTCTTCCTGTCAGTGAGCATCAGTGGGAAGCTCTTCCTAAGCCAGCCAAATGCCTTGTCTTTCCTTCCCCATCTATCCCCACCTTCCTCAGACCTTGCCTCTGCCAGCTTGAGGCAGTCAGTGGAACAGCACTCTGGCAGGCAGCTAGCCAGGTCCGTCCTGGGGAAGTGGGGGGGGGGGGGCGCTGCATCTTATAGGATTCCTCTAGGAAGCCTAAGAAAGCTGCTCTGGGCCCTAGAAAGACAGCCACAGAACCACACCTCCTGGCCCCCGCTGCCTCCTCTCCCTGTACCCCCATGGGTGCTTGCCTCACAGTGTGGTAGTTCAAGAGAGTACAGAATGGGAATTGGAGAGGAAGGTGGTACATCTTCTCCCCACTGACCACCACAGGGACTGGAAGGTAGACACCGGCCCTCCTCCCACGGTGAGTATCACAGGCTGCCCCTGCCCACCCTAGTCCCATCAGTCTGTTTGGTGCTGATTGGAAAGTCAGCAGTTCTGGAGGCCCTGCCAAGTCTAGCCGAGGAAGGGCCTGACCTCCCCTCACCATAATTATCTATCTTATAAAACACAGGCATTGAACTTCATAAAACCAATTAAGACTTCAGGGCCAGGGCACACGGGAGCAAGCAGGAGTCCGCAGCTCTGGGTGACATTGGGAGTCCACTCCAAGGACAGAGCAGGTACCTCACGGTTCTCTTTCTCACGGGTTCCACTCTAAAGAGCCCGCACCCCCACCCCCAGCCCCCAACAAAGCTACTGCGGAGGCAACAGAAGGCACCAAGGCCAAACCCAGGGAAGGACTGGCTGGCTGACAGAGGCAGCGAGGAGCTAGAACTGTTCCTTCCCTTTTGTGACCGGCAGCCCAACAGAGCCTGCTTCTCCCTCCCTCCCTTCCTTCCTCCCTCCCTCCCGCCCGCCCCCCACATCCCTCTCTGGTTCCACAAAACCTCAAGAGCCTCCCATCAAGTTACCAAGGCAACCGCAGCCCTGCAAGATTCACAGCGATTCTGGGAGAGAGCAGAGACTGACAGGAGCCGCAGACAGCATGCCAGGGTTGGGGTGTGTGTCTGGGGGTAAACAAGGAGACAGGCTGCAGGCTGAGTGAGCAGTTCCCCTCTCCGTTCTCAGCTGGTTTGAGGCTCTGTGCTCAGGCTGGAGGCTTGTTTCACAGGCCGGTGCCATGACAGCAGTGAAGCTTCCCTCCCTGGGGATGGTTTGGGGGAAACAGGGGAAGGCCTGCAGACACTGAGTTCCCGGCCCATCCTGGACCACGGGTGCTTCTGCTTTCTAAGTCCAGAGGGCTCTCCACGCCTCGCCTGCGGGAGGCAGTACTGGGAAGGGAGGGATCACAGCTTGTCTGTGTGGTGGATGTAGTCTGGCTCTCGGCTTACTTACTTTCTCGGACTCTGTTTTCTTAGATGGAAATAGGGATAACATGATGAGTCCCAGGATTTAACAGTCCTATAGATATGCTTACATAATGCCCAACACTGGGTAAGTTTTTCCTTAAGCTGCAAAAACTTTATCATTATTCCTATTTTTTAAGTTACATTGTGTGTGTGTGTGTGTGTGTGTGTGTGTGTGTGTGTGTGTGCGCTCGCATGTCACAGCTAACACGGGGAAGTCAGAAGACAACTTGTAGGAGCTGGTTTTCTCTTTCCATCACGTGGGTTCCAGGTTATCAGGTGTGAGGACAAGTGTCGTCAGCCCCAGGCTACCAATGGGTCCCCATTTTGATTATTGTTAGCACTGTACACTTGGCTTATTTATCTGGAAAATCAGAATCATGGTTAGAACTGATTCAATTGTGGTTTGCGGAGTCCCTGAAGAATCATGTTGGTAACTGTACCTTAGCCTCAGTGAAGGGAGCCAGCTCTGCGTTCCCTTCACTCCCTGCTACAGATGTTGGTGCACACCTGTAATCCGAGCACTGAGGAGGGAGAAAGGACAGTGGAGAAGCCGAGGCTAGCCTCAGTTACATAGTAAGATCCTTTCTGTCTAATGACTTTTCTATTGCCTCGAAGAGACACCAGGACCAAGGCAACTCCGTGGAGAGAGAGTTTATTTGGGGCTTACAGTTTCAGAAGTTCATGCTCATCATGGTGGGGATCATGCGAGGGGGTGGGTAGCTGAGAGTTGATCCAGAAGCACAGGCAGAGAGAGCTGACTGGACATGAATTGGGCTTTTGAAACCTCAAAACTCACCCCCGTGACACATCTCTTCCAACAAGGCCACACCTCCTAATTCTTCCCAAGCAGTTCCACCTCCTAGGGACCAAACATTCCCATATATGGGCCTATGGGAGCCGTTCTCATTCAAACCCCCACACGAGGTAGTACTCGTGAACTTCAACTCCCTTCCAGATCGGATGTGAGCCTTTGTCTCTGCCCTCTCTCACTTCCTCCTCCAGAGCCTGAGGCTTCCCAGCAGGCTGACATCTGTCTAGAAAAGGAGCAAATGGCCATTTAAGATGGAAAAGGTTTTGTCTCTATAAGAGAGGGTCCGAACTTCAGGCTAGGGGAGGGGCTACAGGGAATAGACAAAGTTCATCGATCCGCTCTTTTTGCTTGAGGGTTTGGTATTTTTGGTTTGGTTCTTTGAGACAGAGTCTCATTATGTAGCCCAAGTTGACCTTCAACTCCCTGGTTTTTCTAGGCCCTGTTTTAAGACATCAATGAGCAGGACAGGCTGCTCCCCAAACTTCGGCGTATTTCTCTCTAAAAATACCAACACAGGCTGGAGAGATGGCTCAGAGGATAAGAGCACTGATTACTCGTCCAGAGGTCCTGAGTTCAATTCCCAGCAACCACATGATGGCTCACAACCATCTGTAATGAGATCTGGTGCCCTCTTCTGGTCTGCAGGAATACATGCTGTATATAATAAATAAATAAATCTTTAAAAATACCAACACTCCTCCAGGCCCAGTCACACTTAGGACTCTTTGTTTTGTTTTTCATTTACTGAACAATCTCATACAACCCAGGCCTTGAACTCACTATTTACTGAGGGTAGCTTTGAATTTCTGGCCCTCGTGGCTGAACGTGCGCCACCCCCCACCCAGCTCACACTCTGACTTTTTTTGTTTGTTTGTTTGTTTGTTTTTTGAGACAGGGTTTCTCTGTATAGCCCTGGCTGTCCTGGAACTCACAGAGATCCGCCTGCCTCTGCCTCCTGAGTGCTGGGATTGAAGGTGTGCACCACCACCGCCCAGTTTACACTTCTGACTTTTGAGATTGACTGATCTTGGGTTTTGGAACCAATGCAGCCTTCCCCATCCTTGGTCCTTCCTACAGCTCCCTGTTTCAAATCTACAATCAAAAAGAAGTGATAGATGCCGGGCATGGTGGTGCATGTCTTTAATCTCAGCACTTGGAAGCAGAGGCAGGTCCATCTCTGAGTTCGAGGCCAGCCTGGTCTACAAAGCTAGTTCCAGGACAGCCAGGGCTACACAGGGAAACCCTCTGGGGAGGTGGGGGACATGACAGGACATGACACAGGGAAGGGACAGGGACTTTGTCCATTCCCTTGTGGTCTTCCTCTAGTCTGGCATTCTGACCAATGGCACAAGTGAGCGTCCCAGGGTTTTGGTGTGTGTCATAAGCTAAAGGAGGGGTCAAAGTGCAGCTGGGGGAATTCGGGTGAAATCTGGAGAAATGCCCTGACCAAAAGACCTGGAAGACACAGGGGAAAGGCTGCAGGCCTATGGGCTTATGGGATTTACTGCTCTTCAGATTTTCCTCCAGAGAGGGCTAATCCTCACCCCTGCCACCCTGCAGTTAGTGCCTCAGTGGGGCTGGGTAACCAATGCTAGAGGCTTGAAAACACGGAAACTAGGGTGTCTGAAGAAAGTGGAGGCTCCCCTCCCCCTAGGCAAGCCCGTGGCTCTGAGGGAGGCTCCAAGGCCTTTGATTTTCTGGGAAGTCAAACTTTAGGGAGAACACCTGAGTTGGTTTGGATGGAGGGCGACAGATCAGGGCATGAACCAATCCCCCCGTAACAAACACACAACTCTGACCTTCAACTCTGTGGGCAACAAAGCTTGCTTCAGCCCAGAGGTTCTGTTCTTCCCAGTACTGTGCCTGGGCTCCCCAACCCCAGTCCTCTCCACAAAGAGATGGTGGAGGTGCTAAAAGCCAAAAGGCCTGGCTTTTCTTTTAGGCTGTGTAACCTGACACAGACATCTTACCCTTGCTAGACTCATAAATCAACACCACACAGGTGTTATTGGGAAGGAGGAATTTACAAGTCACTTGCTGTGTTTTGTTTTTGGTGTGTGTGTGGGGGAGAGCGGGGAGGGGGGGCGGGAGGAGAAAACCTGAAAAAGACAACTGGGAAAAGCTCTGGGTGTGGAACAAAGGGGTTGTTGGGAAGCCTTCCCCTTCTGGACTTCCTTTCCACAGCAGCTGCTGGCAGCTGTATGGGCGGGCACTGGGTCAGGAATGTGCCACACCCTTAGACCTGCTTAGCAGCCTCAGCCTCGGTCCAATCCTATCTGACTCCAGTAAATTCGAGCAAGGTCTAGGACTGTGTCAGATTTGGGAGAGAAAGTTCCCGTCCCCACTTCCCATGATGAAGAGCCTAGTGGGCGGGGCATGGACAACAGCAACACGGATTAATCTGGAAATATTTCTGAAGAAAATTGAGATATTCCACTTCCCTGAGGAAGCCTGAGGTTTGCTTTTGGCAAAGGGCCTAAAGTTCCATGGCCCCAAGCTAGGTGGGAGCCGGCTTTGGCCATGACATCCCCACAGAGACCTGCCTCACAAACTGTTCTCTCAGAGGCACAGAGAGCAGCTTTCTGAAACCCACGGAGGCCCACACAAGTTGGAGCCAGTTCCCACTCAAGTTTCCGTCTCTGTCTGCCAGAAGAAGACAGAGCTTGAATAGTCTGCCCAGCTCACCTTCATCCTGACAGGCAAAATTTCCCAAGCCAAGGCTGAGAGGAGACAGCAAGACTCCTCCGGGGTGACTCAGGAGCACCCCCTGCTGTTCAGCTTTCCTGATGGCAGCTAAGGTGGGGAAGGACCGGTCCAGCTGCAGTGTCTGCCGCTGCAGGAGGCCCTGCCCGCCAAGAAGACCCTGGCTCCAGAGCCCTCCAAACACTACCAGACTCTGAATTAGAACCGGACTTCCCTAGGAGGTGTACGGACCCCACAGGAGGCTAACACCCAGGCTGTCACACCCCAGGCCCTGAAGTGTGGCCTCTAGACAAAGTATGGTCCACGTAGCAAGACCAAACACCTTTTCTGAGCCCAAGAGAGCAGAAGCTGAGACACTCGGTCACCTCTGGGCTCTGACTATGGGCCTTGAGGAGTCCAGGAGGGGACATCTTAATGCTCCCAGCCAGAGTCCATTTCAGGCAATAGCTATTTTCAGAAAGGTCTCCAGCTCCTCGTCTTCAAGCACAGGAGAGACCCATGAGTCCCACGTTCTCTAGTTCTTAGATTCCATGAGTTTACAGGATTCTCCAGGGCTGCGTTCTCTCCAGGACATCCACCCCTCACCCCCATTCATAGCTCTTTCTTCCTTCTGATTTAAATTCATTTTGTACATCGTAAATAATAGCAGCTGGGAGGGAGGTGCTTCCCTTCCACATGCTCCGTTTCCAAGATCGGGAAGGGAGCGGGAAAGAGGAGATAGATGGCGAGAAGCTGGTTAGATGAAGATCAGGAACAGAGCGATAAACCCCAAGTGAATGTCTAAGAGCGGCGCTCTGGCTGGCGGGAGAGGTCAGGACAGGCTTCAGCATCATCACTAGTCATCTCCCACTTAGCACTTTACAGCTGCTGTGTGTGTTCACACTACACGTAGGCCTGGACATCCCCGCACGCGCACACACCACTCAGTCTGCGGAGCCTGGACATCCGCACACTCATACCACTGAGTCCGTGGAGAAGGCCCGGCAAACGCGAAGTTGGAGGGGGCAGCTCTCCTCACTGCACTCAGTGAGTTCCACCCTCATATGCAAAATGAGTGCTGAAACAGACCCCCCCCTCCCAGAGCAACGCACCCGCAAAAGGACACCCCCCTCCCCACCCCCGCTGCCACCTTCCCACACTAAACAGTGGGCACAGGGAACAAGCCTGTTTTACAGAGCAGGAGTTGGATCGGTGGTTGGGGAAAGGGAAGCCTTAAGCTTAGGCCCCACTGAAGCTGATACTCTCTGCCTCCCCCCCCCACACCACACACACCCTGTTCCCACCCCACGATTAAAGAAACAAAAGGAAAAATCCTCCCAGACAATTCCTACAGTTACTTCACAGTCTATAATCACCCCAAGTTTATGAAATCCCTGCCCTGGCTACCCCCAGCACTGTCCTCCCAAGGTAGCCTATATTTTTCAGGTCTTAGAAAGTGTCTCCAGGATATATTACCCTGAAAGACAGATCCGCTCCTGGAATGCAAGGAGACAGTGATGAATTTGCCCGCACACTGGCAACCTACTTCCATTAACTCTTATGTCCAAATAATTCCTGTAAATCACCAAGGACGAAGCCGAGAGGGAAAGTAAGTTCCTGACACCAATCTCCAGCAGCGATTCCTCCTTGGAACCTGTTTTCCAGGTGTGGAAACCATGTAGAACCTTAGACTTCTGGGAGGAAGCAGCAGAAACCAGGCCTCATCCCATCTACTGCCCATGTCTCCCTGACCCAAGCTTCTGGGACTTCGCCTTTGGAAGATGGAAGAACCACACAGACATGGGGTCAGCCACCCTGTTCTAGGGGTTCAGGGCCCTGGCAGCCCCTCAGTGGGGTGGGGCTGCCTTCCGGGAGCATCTCCACATCCCCGGCAGCTAAAAGAGTAGGTCCTGTGGGACCAGGACCCAGGAGGACCCAGGAGGACCCAGGAGGACCCAGGAGGACCCAGGAGGACCCAGGAGGACCCAGGGACAGGCAAGGGAAAGATGGCTGAGATCTGAATACAGTTGCTTACTCATTCCTTCTCAAAGGATTCTAATCATTGCCTTTTTCTTTCAGTACTTGAGATAAAACCCAGGACCTTGAGCATGCCAAGTGCTCTACCACTGAGCTTTATTCCCAATTCCTCACCTTTAAAACAAACAAACAAACAAACAAACAAACAATATTTATTTGTCTTAAGACAGTGTCTCATTATCTAGCCCAGGCTGGCCTCAAACTCTGGGTTCTCTTGTCCCCGCCTCCCAAATGATAGAATGGCAGGTATATACCGCCACTCTGTGTTACTGCACTCATAGAATTTAGAGGGGCTGGCTGTATTAAAGTTACCAGCTAAAAAAGTACAGGTCAGGGTCAAATGTGGGTCTCCCACTTCCAAAGTCAGGGTCAAACATGGGTCTCCCACCTCCAAAGTCTGCTCTCCGGGTGTTCACATCCTAAGAGGGAAGGGAGCCAGGAGCAGGTGGCATTTCAGCCTCTAAGTGCGCCCACCTGCCCAACTTAGCTGTAAGCCACAGGCTCATCAACTCACACTTATGGTTGCAGCCTGTGCCCTGCTCACATGGCCCTCCACCAAGCCAGCCTCCAGCTGGGCGGCTGATACATCTTGGGGATGGGCCAGGTAGGGCCTGGAAGCCGAAAAGGGAAGATCTGGTATTTCTGTAGGGCCTGGAAGAAAGCTGGGCAGATGGGTCTGAACTGGCTGAGCCAGAAGGCTGGTTAGCGGGGAAAGCATAAGGCATACTGCGGCCTGCCTTTGCCCAGTTGGCCATCGGAGCGCTTCTGTCTCCTTCCACTCTCCCAGTCACTCCCTAAATTGCCTGCCTCGGATGTGATTCTGTCCAAATGAAGAGACTGGCGTGCAGAGGGATGCTGTGTGCTCATTACTTCCCAGTTACCTTCGAGCAGCAGCAGACTGGGGAGCTGGCTGCCCAGACCACAACAGGAACAGTTTGTGATGTTCTGTTCCAGCAGCTTGGAGAGCGTTTCCTGTGGCTCAGACCTCAGGATGA